GATTTTCATTATCTTTGGAGCATCCTGCAAACAGATGATAGAGAATTTCTTCTTTCCATATAAATTCATGACTTCTTTTCACTTGGCGTTATTGTTTAGACCTCTACAATTAGCTGAAACTATATGATTGTAGCATTTACTCCCATGTATTATTGATCCATCTCTTCAAATCACAAAGTGTAATGTACCTTACTGGAATGGTTTCTTGTCTTATATAACACTGGCAGAGGATACACAGAATAAATACAAAGAAATGAGGAAGGTTGAGACGCATGGCTGAAGACATGTCACTCTGCACACAACAGCCACAGCATGTGTAGAGGAAAACTAGGATCAGTAACATTCCTGGTGGCTGCTCACCATTCAATTGATTTCCTCCTCTAGTTCATTATTGGATTTACATTTGTTCAAAAGACCCAATTAAACAACCAGATTTATTGAGATAGACTCTGACACAAACTCCACATTAAATATTCCTCCACATACTCCTCCAGATCCACAACCTGAAGTTCTCTAAGACCATCGCGAACTGTCACGAAGCCATGTCTTGTTTCTCCACCACCATAGACTGCAATATGGAAATCAGTTAAACTGCCATGGATATCGTTCAATTCAATACAGTGAATAAAATTGATTTGTGAATATTGCTGAAGTTAATAGCAAGATAACATACACCCTGCTTATCAGTGAAGGAACTAGTTTCATGGCTGCATGGTCAGGAGCGCCTATAGTATGTAGATCAGGATAAGAGTTAGGACACATCTACAATATCAAAACACATTGCCATCAAACTACACCAGATTATCAAATCAGAACAGTGCCACAGGGCTGTAGTTCACCTTGTCATAGGACCATAAGTCAGAAAAGCTGTCACAACAGCTGTTGGTGATTATGTATGTATACTGAGTGAGTGAGTGAGTGAGTGAGTGAGTGAGTGAGTGAGTGAGTGAGGAGTGAGTGAGTGAGTGAGTGAGTGAGTGAGTGAGTGAGTGAGTGAGTGAGGAGAGTGGAGTGAGTGAGTGAGTGAGTGTGAGTGAGTGAGGAGTGAGGAGGTGAGTGAGTGAGTGAGTGAGTGAGTGGTGAGTGAGTGAGGAGGAGGAGTGAGTGAGTGAGGAGAGTGAGTGAGTGAGTGAGTGAGTGAGTGAGTGAGTGAAGTGTTCACGAATAGCGTCTGACCCTCTGACAAATCCGGCAGATTTGCCAACGGTCCAATAGAAGTCTACAACCCGCCGGGGCCCCAGTGTCTTACTGTATATTTCACAATGACTTTGACTGAAGTTGTTATATGTGACATGTAACACTTGTTTGCTGTTTATAAATCTTAAGTTTGTTAATAACTTCAATGACAATTGTAAGAAATGTTAAATCTGAAATGTGTGTTTAATTTTATTCTATGGGTCCTGTGAATTTTCAATGTGTCAGACAGACATCTAAAACTTCCAGGACCAAATGTCCTGTTTCTTTGAAACACCATTCGTGAACACTGTTAGTTTAGTTTTACGCCGCAGTCAGCAATATTCCAGCTATATGGCGGCGGTCTGTAAAAAATCAAGTCTGGACCAGACAATCCAGTGATCAACAGCATGAGAATCGATCTGCCCAATCGGGAAATGATGACATGTGTCAACAAAATCAGTGAGCCTGATCACCCGATCCTGTTAGTCGCCTCTTACGACAAGCAGCATGGGTTACTGAGATCAATATTCTAACCCCGACCATCACGGGTCGTATGTATACTGTCAGCAGTTAATCATGCTTTGTCACCATGAAAGTCATATCAGCAATAAGACATGGAATGGTCTCTTGAAACATATTTGTGTTTTTAAGTAGAACATGCTTTATGTGGAAAGTGAATGAGCTCATCATGATTATTTTTTAGGTTAACAGCATTTCATGAGTCACAGCATCTCAGGATGAAGTGAAAAGGGGTGGGGTTGGGGGGTGAGGTACGATGGGGGGTTTAACCCAGAAGTGATGCTGATTTCCTAGTGTGGAAAGAAACACAAGCTCAGGTATTGTGCTGGGAAACCAAGCCACATAGTCTGGATGACGAGGGATTCACATCCACGATCACAAGTCACGTCACACTGACGCGACTCTGCACACCACACTGCAATACATCACACATCTGGGCCACCCATGCAGTCAGGGAGATGGTGACAATTGACACTCAATTAACACTGGTAAAACCCTGCTTGTGGTTAGATATGAATGAACATATGAAAAAAGCATTGCATTACAGAACAGAGGCAATTTTGTAGACACGAATACGATCAATTTACACAAACATAAAGGTAATATTTCCAGCATATTTATGAAAGGAGTGAAACACAAGTTATAATATAAATGCGTATGTTAGATAATTTGGTACATAATTGCTAAAATTGTGAACAAGCCCACACACATCAGTGTATTGAAATTAGATGAGAAGGTAAAAGAGACCTTGCCAAGATTGAAATACTACAAGTAAGGAATGCCAGAAAGTACCCGACCTGCTCGGAGGCCGGTATTTGCCCCTAAATGTGCAGTAAATGTCAGTAAACATTCCCTAACTGGAATTTAAAAAAACTCATGTTATTAAAGTACCCTCATTGTATGATGCTCTGTATTACATTTTTGCACTGTATGTGGCATTAAAATGGGTTTTAGGAAAATGTAATTTTATTATGGGTTAGATGTTAAAGCAAAATAAATTTCCAATGGCACTTACCTAGATATAATCCTGCATACTATCACAGAAAAGTTAGACTGACTGACTGAGTTTGGTTTTACGCCGCTTTTAGCAATATTCCAGCAACATCACGGCGGGGGACACCAGAAATGGGCTTCACACATTGTACCCGTGTGGGGATTCGAACCCGGGTCTTCGGCGTGACGAGCCAACGCTTTAACCACTAGGCTACCCAACTGCCCCAGAAAAGTTAGAGGATTCTCCCTATGAAGCCCACCAAGATATAATCCTGCATACTATCATGGAACAATAATTAATCATGAATTTTTGTATGAATTATTATTCCATTTATTATTCCATGATAATACTATCACGGTAAAGTTAGAGGATTCTCAATATGAACCCCACCCCTTAATTCGTAAAGGGGTCAAACACTAATGTCACTGTATGCTCTCTGGATCTATAATAACTTCTATATATTGACTACATATATTCTTTACAAATAGCACTTATCACCTAAATAGTTCTTATGGGACTTCACAGGTGACTGACTACAGATGAAATATGTTGATAAACACAGCCATGAAGCAATTACAGGTATGAAGTGTGAAGAGTTATGAAAAACATTTACATTATGAAAAGAGTGGTGAATCATGGAGTGAGTGAGTTAATTTTGGTTAACATCACACTCAACCATAGCAAAATACATTACTGGGGCCTTGAAACCCTCAAGTCTGGGACAGCCAAACCAGTGACTGGAAGCAACACCATTAGCAGGCCAATGTGATGTGCAACCTGTTCACAAATTTAACACCATCGGCCACTGGGACACGTGCAGGCAAATCCCAGTGCAGGCAAATCCCAGAACCTGACCATGATTCACACCAGTGGGTCATGAAGTTCCAGGCAGGTTCACAAAGCCTGACCACCTAATCCTCTTTAGTGACAAGTTTGAGACAATGTGGACTAATTCTACCCTAGAAACCATAACAGCATTTAATTCATCTGTGTATTTCTTCCCTGTCTGAGCATCTGAAAGAACCATTACCTATTTACCCATTTAACATTTAACTAGCCCGTAGGCAACAGGTGTCAAGTTCTTCTCTAATCCAACTGATGTGAGCTAGAAATCGAGAAAAACTAGTATTTATTAATCTGTTTAGCAAATGATTAAGATTCTCCTTTAAATGTCAGAGTTAAGCATGTTATCAAATTTAGATTAATCGCAGGATTTGTGTTACCAATGTTAAAGATCATACAGTGATATAAAGCGACACAGAGATTTATTTTTTTGTGGAAATAATATACTTATCTAAAACATAAAACTGATAGTTCACTGGTTGAAATGGAACTTTATCTTGTTGATGTTAGAATTACTGCCTCAGGGACACAACAGTTATCAAACTCAAGTCAGCAGAACGAACACATAACAAAAAGACATTTGGCTGATTTGATCAAATACATTTATCTATAAACTGGCAAATATTAACTTTATCAGGTCACCAGATGAGATATGCATGTTATTTGACAAGATTAGCCTAATATTCTCCATTTCTTCCCAACCCAAGATGAAACATAAGATGTTTTATAGATAAAATAAAGTCAGCATAGTATCCCCGAGATCTGGACCCCCCAAACTCCACATCCGACTCCAGTATGATCCCCCAGTATGATCCCCCAGTATGATCCCCCAGTATGATCCCAGTATGATCCCCGGCACTACATGGCTGGCTATCACCACTGGCATTCAGGATCTCATGCTGCTGCAATGGATGGTTTGACATGAAGCCTGCTGTTTTGGACACCAGCCAGCAGTCTCACATATCAATATTACTGATGCTGGAATTATGCATCTTCATTTACTACCGAAACACATTGGCCCTTCATATAAACTGAATAGAGGAAGTTGAAAGTCATGCTTTGTACAGATACACATTTTTTCAAGAAACAGAAAAAGATAAAAAGAATTATAGCCCTATTGTTCATGTCCTGGAGCTGTGAGAAAGCATTGTTTAGTATATCATTGGGTTGGGGTTTTTTTTTTCAAAAGCATGATTACATATGGTATGTATCTAGTCTGAATAACTGCCAAGCAAATGAGCACTGAAAAAACAAATTTCTTATTATTTCTTCGTGAACAATAAGAATTCATTGTATCAGATGCAAAGGCCAAAATCATTTTCACATGTTCTGATCAGTTGAGCAATTAGCACTGACAAGAATCTTCAGCTCTGTAAGAGCAACGTTCATTATATGGCCCACAACTGTAATGCCTGTATCTCAAGTACACAATCAATAAAGGAGCTGGAGGAAAGGGGAGATTACTCACTGATTTCAGCTTCATTTTCCCGCACTTTGGCATTGTTGCCCAGCCTCTCAAGGTTCTCTGCCATGTATGCTTCATTCTGCACATGCACTGTAAAATAAAACATCGTGTTAAAAAATGTGATCACTACCCATTTCAAAACAAAGAGTCTGAAAATACAGGCCCTGTTTCACAAAACGACCATAGTGTCATGGATGTATTATTGACCAAAACATCCATCCCACATTGACAGATAGACAATTGACAGGGGAAACAGGAATCAGACAACTGATAAAGATTGGTGGGGGATGGGGGCATTACAAAAACAAATGTGTGGCAGAATGGAAGCATTTCAGATTCAAAATTTTTTTTTAGTGTAAATTCATGCTGAGAACCACCGCCAGCATTCAACACATGACAGAAAGGGGACAACATTAACGAGTGGCCATCTTGGCAAGTGAAAGTATGCTGAATGAAGTCTAGAAACAACGTTTGATGAATCCAAGTAACATATTCATGCAGACCTGATGCATAGGATAAGAAAAGCAGTTACTGAATCTCAACACTCACTGACACACTCTGACCAAGACTGGGTATTTGCCACAAAATGGTCTTGATGTCATGTATACTAAAGGCCTCTTGAAATAGTATGGGACTTATAACATAGATTAGCGTAACATGGCACATTGTTGCTCCAGACAGGAATATTTCAGTCTCCTAAAACATTAATAAATTAATCCAATATGTCCAACTTCTTCATTTTCTTTTGACTAAATTGCACATCTGAAAAAAAAACATCTGTAGAAAATGTTATCCGTAAAATAATACCGGTAGGTCTTAAGCCCTTCTATTTAGAGATTCACAATTAGTAATTATAGCCAGACTAACGGTTCAAAGTGTTATGCACAAAGGTGAGAAGTTATAGAGGTGGAATGTTGAATTATTGAAGCTGCCGCAGCTTTCTGTTGACCAGAATCAATATCCCATCATGCCAAGCAACATGCAACATGTCGTACACATCCATTTTTAATGAGGCAACAAAATAGGTCAGTTTTTCTGTTACACCACATGTCACAGTGGTATCGCCATGGATACATGTCAATGAGAAAATGTCTGAGAGACACAAGAAGCTGCTGTCTGGCCTTGGTTGAACTGGAATAGATCTGAATCAAATGTCAGAGAGACCAGTCATTAGCAACTGGTAATAGTCATGGTGTGTCAATAAATTAATGTGTAAGGCTCTTCAGAAGAATGCAGATTCTATCAAGTCAAATATATTTTGACCAGACTAGTGACACACAAAAGCATCAATGCCCTCTACATGTTTTGAACCTAACCGTCAGGGACACACTGACAAAGTGTCAACAAGATCCAAACAAGCTGTCCATGATGTGAGTGAGTGAATATGGTTTTAGGTCGCTTTTAGCAATATTCCAGAAATATCCCGACGGGGAACACCAGAAATGGGCTTCACATATTGTAACCATGTGGAGAATCGAATCTGGGCCTTCGGCGTGACGAGCAAACACTTGAACTACTACACCACTGTCCCCCCATGATATGAGCACAAGACTGCATGCTATGGAACTCAGTACCCTGCACAGGCAAACATATAATAAAAGATTTCATACTTCCAGAATTTGGCCATTTTTTCACCTATTACCTCCTTATTCAATTTTGCTTTACATAAACATGACAAACTACAAGTATATATCATGCTTTCAAAATGATTACATAGCACAGACTTGAAGTCCTGGACGCTTTTGAAATACCGTACAAACACTCCGATTACCTCAGTGCTTATCAATACTTCATGGAGCCTCAGCGGTCTATCCTATTACCGTCCAATAATCCTTACCATAATGACACTCACAGAGAAACATTTATTGTCCAGCCAGCATAGGTCAAGGGCTCTCATGAATTATTTTGAATTGTAAAATATTGATCATGTGACCTCAAGCAGTGTATAAGGGCTGACACCAATATGTCTGCCACAGCAGACAACTTCCTGTTTATCATCAATGCTGTCTGACCAGCTTCAACAATTCTTAACATTTTATAGCAGGTCCAAGTATCTGTGTTACATGGATCATACAGAACTTATGAGGGCAGTGGCGTAGCCTAGTGGTTAAAGTGTTCGCTCATCATGCCGAAAGCCCAGGTTCGATTGCCCACATAGGTATGATGTGTAAAGCCCATTTCTGGTGTCCCCCACCATGATGTTGCTGGAATATTGCTAAAAGCTAAAAAACACACTCACTCACTCACTAATAATTTATGACTGCCTGAGTTTGGTTTTACGCCGCTTTTAGCAATATTCCAGCAACATCACAGCAGGAATAATTAATGAAAGAAGCAAGGTTTGAAAATCGTCACTGAAAACTAGTTTGTGTAATGCCTGACCCCTAATGTTGCTGTCATTATGTATGATTGTGTTTATGATAATGTTTATCGTGACATGACTGTCTGTAAGTGTAACCCAACAGTATGGACAACTAGCGATATATAGAGGTCTGTCTGGTCTGGTCAGGTATGAGTATTGAATAACAAGAGTTCATGTAGTCTGTTGATAGGAATCACAGTGCTGGGAAGTGGATAATGAACTCACTTATTATTAGTTGGAGACAGGATGATTATTGACATAATTTCAATATTTTCAGTGCAGTTGAGTATGGTTGTCTATCACATTTCAGCAATATTACAGCGTGACCCAGAAGAACTGGGCTTCACACACTCAATCCAACCCAGCTAGTTTGCTTTTCAAGCAAACACTTCAACAACCAGGCTACCCCCATTGTTCCAGTGTAGAAACAATACTCTACAAGCTAATGAATACAGACAAATAAAATGATGGGGCGGTAGCCTATCCCAGCAGTTAAAGCGCATGCTCGTCAAGCCGAAGACCCGGGTTCGATTCCTCACATGGGTATAATGTGTGAAGCCCATTTCTGGTGTCCCCGTCGTGGAATTGCTGGAATATTGTTAAAAGCGGCATAAAACCCAACTCACTCACTCACACATCCACATCAAATGAACAATTTGCAGCGATGAATAACCAAGCAATTGGTTTCAATGGTTGGACAGGAGAACTGTGTGATAAATGCAGCAAAGAAAACAGTGCGCCAAAACGCACCCGAAGACATACAGCCATGGACATGAAAACATTTATTTTCACGTGCACAATGGACGGTAAATGTGATTTCGTGTATGTTTTTGAGTTTAGTTGTGTGTTGTTTAACCAGAGAGCAACATCTAATAATGTTTCATCCCAATGCAGGAAGTTAGAATTGAAACGTTGTAAAAAAGCAACTTAGGTGATAGATGTTCACTTAAAAAGTGGACTTAAAGCACAAAGGTGTATTAAAGTAAAAATTGTGTATTTTAATATTAGTTGATTTTATTGCAATAGGATTGTGTCTTGATATTTGGAGTATCTTCACTCCAATGGTTATGACTTTTGAAGTTGTTAAAGCACACATTTCTGTTTCTTACTTAACAAAATGCACTTCAAAAATTACTTATCAAAACTTTCAACAATTTCAAAATTTGGTGGCTAAAAACCTTTTTTAGGCTATCCACTGAAGAGGAAATATGTCTTTCCAGACAATCCCAATTGATCTGTTGGCTTTGGCTGGACAGCTGGTCTAGATTGTAACATGAGTGTCAGAATTATTGAGTTAACCTTCTGCTAGAATCTGCTGAAATCCCTCTCGATCGATGTCACCGAAACACCTAACTTTTCACACAGGACACCCATTCACTACATTGAGCAAAACCTCAAATCTTAATTTCCTACTACGTCTCTGAGAATCTAAGGTAAGATGGCTTCAGTTTGTTTGCGTCTGTCAAGTCTCTGTCTGGAGTGGGGTTTATTGGTTGTTCTGACTGTTGCCTTTATGTCCTAACAAACTATCTCAGACAACCGGTGGTTACAGGATAATCCTCCAACACACTGGATGCCAAACGTCTTTTTGTTTCTGTTTTATGGCTCTGGATACTGTGTTCTCTTGTAATGGAAATGTGACTTGTTACCCTGTAGCCATGATAGAAAGGCTGGGACTGACCTCGATCTTCAGGATCAGTTGTCAATACCAGACAACATGCAACACAAGTAGCTTCATGTTTTTATTAACTTGAAATCTTGGTAGAAATGGGCACTCAGGAAGACCATTTAGATGCAATGATTGATAGCTTGGGGAAAAACTATTGTAACCAACAATTGATTAATAAACCCCAAGTGGATTTTCTCACAAGTAGCAGTTGCAGAGTTGGATAGCTGTCGAATATCACATCCAAATGAATCACAGAACTCAACACTCATTGAACGTGAATCTACATAATGGCTGACTGAAATGCCAGTAATCAGATCTAGAAATCCAAACCTCATATTGTGTGAACACTGTCCTACACCTGAGTGAAGAAAAGACATGCCATGCAGCCAAGTGTCTAACCAGTGTCTAACAGTTACACACCTATCTCTGCCATTTGGAACCATGTACATCGGCCTGTACATAAAACTACTCTATCAAGATCCCTCTGCACATACATCTATCCTTGCCACCAACATTCCTCTGCACATACACCTGCCCTTGCCCCAGAATTCATCTCCACATACATCTATACTTCCTCCAGGATTCCTCTGCACATGCATCAATCCTTCCCCCAGGATTCAAGCACAAAGACAAGGCAGAAAGTGGGTTGTCAACTGTTAGGGATGGCAGAAAGTGGGTAGTCAACTGGTATGGATGGCAGAAAGTGGGTAGTCAACTGATAGGGATGGCAGAAAGTGGATTGTCAACTGATAGGGATGGCAGAAAGAGGGTTGTCAACTGATAAGGATGGCAGAAAGTGGGTCATCAACTGGTCAGGATGGCAGAAAGTGGGTTGTCAACTGGTCGGGATGGCAGAAAGCGGGTTGTCAACCGGTAGGGATGGCAGACAGTTGGAAGCCAACAGGTAGAGATGGCAGACAGCGGGTAGTCAACTGGTAGGGATGGCAGAAAGCGGGTTGTCAACTGGTATGGATTACAGACAGTTGGATGCCAACTGGTAGAAATGGCAGAAAGTGGGTTGTCAACTGGTCGGGATGGCAGAAAGCGGGTTGTCAACTG